CAAAGGACTGTCCCCCACCCACCAGCAGCAGGAAGGACTTTAATCCCCCCCCCACAAATACTCTGCTCTCCTCCTTGCTCCTTGCCCACAATTAACCATCGCTCTGCACCCCAACTACAGCCACTCTGCCCGGCCCTGTGGCACAGGAGGACTCAGGGTGGGGAATCAGGCTTGATGTTAGGAAAAAGCGTGTAATAAAAATGATGTAATGGAAACAACGTCTGGGCAAAAGGTTGTGCGTAGCATCAAAAGCCAGGCTGGCACCGCTGTGAGCACCGACCGTGCGTCTCACTCGTGCGCAGGCAAAGCTGCATGGCTCCCGGCTGGGGCGTCAGGAGCAGGAAGGGGGCGCCGGAGCGTGTAAAACAACATACTGCGCAGGGACAGCGTTAATCAATCAAAGTAGGCAAAAGCGGGTGCTGCCCCGAGCTGTTCCTGGTCTCTAACACACGGTGTCGGCAGCAGTCGCGGCACCCCGGCTGTGCCACCCCTGGGAGAGTTGATTTAAAAAAAAGAAGAAAAATAAAAAAACCAACACAGATTTAGTTTTGGCTTTTAGCTGTAGCCTTCCATCCCACTGAGCTCCTGCAAGGGTAGCACAGGCCAAGTTGTGGCTCAAACCCAAAAGCTCCAAGTCTGGCTGCAAGCCCTGTTCCCAGCACCCGCAGCTGCCCCCGCAGCCCTGATCTCGCAGGGCAGCTGCAGCCCTTCTGCAGGGTGCGGATGCTGCGGCAGGAAGGGACGAGACCACTTGTTTTGAGGGGTTTTGCTTCCCTCTGGTCCAGGTCTCCAAGAATACGCCAGCATTTTTAACAGCTCCCCGCTGCGAGCACCCCTGTACGAGCACGCTGCCAGCACAGACTCTGTTCTTTAATGTACTATTTCCTCCAACGTTGCAATCCCCAACCTCGAACGTGATACAGCGCTGCTTTAAAAAGGTATTTACACGCATCCCAGCATCACCCCCCTCGTCATCCCAAGGAGCAAGGCCTCGACCGGCGCTAAGAGCCGACCAAGGGAAGTCTCTTGCGGCCTTTCTAGCAGAATGGCAGCAATGACAGAGGGCAACATAGCTACTGCGATGGTTTCGGATTGGTTTTGGTCGCATCCCTGATGAAATAACAGCATGAAGATGAGAGACGGCGTTAATCTATCTCCCCAGCCAGAGCTAGAAGCGCTTCATCTGGCGGCGTTCTTGTCGGCGTTGCTTCTTCTCATTTGGTTCCTGACCGGCGGGCGAAGAGTCGGCTGTAAACCAGGGCCCCAGGATGTTCACCCACAGGAGGTAGAGAGCACGTCCCGGAGCCTGCAAAACACGCGTGGCACGAACGGGGTCACTCTGGGGACGGCTTTGGCAGGGGTGGTGGTACGGCCAGGGGGGGCTGGTCCGATCGAGGGAGCCGAAGGAGCTGGCATATCTTTACAGGCTGGATCAGGGGCATCAGAGGATGCACGGAAATCAAAGGCGGCGGCAGGTGTCCAAAATAAATGGCCTGATTTCATATGGGTCAGAAGCCTGCACACGTATACAGCGCTTAGGCTTCATATACGGAAATGCCAGCATCAGGTCTGAATTACCCAGAACGCCCCGACTGCCCAGACATTCTGCCTCGCCTTCCTTCAGAACAAACCCCCCCATTTCTCTAAATGAAAACAACCGTGATCTGGATGGCTCCGGGGGTAGGCAGAGTTTAGGCTGCCAGGCCAGCTAGAAAGAACTTCTAAATACAGACCACAAGAAGATAGCTTTCTACGCTCCCCAGATTGCCTGGTATTCCTTTGTGGGATATATTGAAAGCAACTGTGGGATTTATTTTTTTTTTTTTAAATGACTAGAGATATTTTTTATCCTTCTGCAGAAGCAGTTTTAGCTGGAGGCGCATGACAAATGTTTCAGGAATAGAAAGTCTGGTGCGTTGAGGGGAAATCAAAGCCTACAGCATTTGATCTACCAAGCGGCACAGCGTCCAGCGGTTCCCAGCCTCAGCCCGCGCTGGTGAATGACCGAGAAAACCAAACGAGAAGCAGCAGTTTGTCACGGTCACAGAAAGGCTCTATGCACAAAGAAGGCTTTGATCTGCCTCGTGTTTCTTCTTGCCCTTTCAGAGGACCAGAGAGAAAGGCCAAGGCCAGCCTAGTTTTTGCGTGGTTGACTCAAAGGGATCAGGACTTCTTTCCCATGTACGGTCTCATTTTTAACAAGATTTGACAAGGACATTAAAAAATTTATCAGAAAATAGTTTTACCCTGAAACAGGACACTGAGCTGAAACGGATAAATAATGTCCTGGGCTCCGAAGTGAGGGAAAGACAGGAACAACGTAAAGCAACAAGGAAAACCCCCGGGGCTTACCAAGAGCCAGAAGTACCAGGCGTAGAGGGAGAAGCAGCTCAGCACTTGGACTATCGCTGTCAGCAGGATCACATCCTTGAGGTGCCTGAGGGAAGAAAAACAAAACATTAACCTTCCCTTCCAGCCCAACACACCAGCTCCTCTGCCAACACAGCCCGTCTGCACCGCCTCCCGGGAGCCACCCGACCAAGGGCCGTCCCTGCAGCTATGCTCTGCCACACACCATAATCTAGAAGAATCAGAACAGTAAACAAAGCAAAAACCAAACTGAAAGAAATCAATCTGGTGAGTTAAAGAGCTAGACTCCCTCTGAAAAGGGACGTTGAGAAAGCTGAGGAATGCAGGAGGGTGGAAATCAGCAACAAAACCACCACCCCCGCAGCCTCCAACAGCAGCCAGCACCCGCTGATTTGACACATATGATGGCATAACGTATGGCTGCTCACGGCTGGCTGCACTAAAGAGAAGCACGAATCTTCCCTGTGCCATCTCACAGGCTGACAGACACATTCGGGGTCACTGAAGGGCTGAGGTGCCCAAGGACAAGCACGCCATCACCTGCAAGCCGAGTTACAAGCAACAGGCAGCTCCCTCTCCCCTCCTGTTTACCCAACTCCGGGGTCTTGCGCCCCAGCCTGAGCCGAGAGCAGCTACAGAGGGGAAGAACCTGCCCACGTCTCAACCACCACCCTCGGGGGGGGACCTGACACCCAGAGAGGTAAACAGGTACGGCTTTTTCAACACAAGCCACAGGGAGTGCCATGATGGGTTAAAAAACGCCATTAAATCATCACCTGCTGGAGTAAGAAACACTCGAGTCACATCCAAGAATGGAGTGAAGAACACAAAGGCAGAGGTAAGGGTAATGACATAGCTTGTCTCACTCTGGGCGGCACAGCACAAAATAAAGTGAGGTTAGGGATTCATCACCAGAAAGAGCTGGTTTAGGTCGGGACATTGTCATCAGCACAAGACGCTGCTGAATCCACCACCTCTATGACGGGACCTGAGGTTCAGAAACCTCGTGCGTCACCGAAGGCCACAAGAGGGGTGACGGCAGAGCTCCCGCCGAACCCAGCCCGCCCAGAGACCAGCAAGGTCGGCCTTCCTCAACCCCAAAACACCACACAGCGTCTGTTGTTACAGACAGCACGAGGGAAACACCGTCAAAGCCGCAGCGTTCCAGCAGCGGCTCCAAAAGAGCACACATCAATCAGCTGCGGCACGCTCCGAGGCAGGAAAACATCTGCTGCTTTCTGACAGTAACCACTAGCATAGAGCGGTTGCCCGACTCCCAAAGTGGTGATTTAGAGCACGACAAAAACAGATGCAGTCAGCGGGAGGAGCACTGAGCGTTCGTTAACACTGCGTTCACGTAGCCACGGGGTTAAATTAACGAAGGACTCGTGCTCTCACGGCTGAGGGCTCTGCGCAGGCTCAGGTACAAAGGTACAGGGTAAGGACGGGAACTTCAGCTGGGAAGGTTTTTACAGCTCTGCCTTCAAGCTGCGTTGTATTTTGCACAGCCCGTGCCTCGGACAAGCGTCAATTCATTTTAATGTGTCATAAAACTCACCCTGAGGGCGTATTGCTCAGGCAGAAAAACCTCGGCGCACCCGGTACCAAGGGAAGCACTAGGTCTGCAACCAGGACTGCGGCCGTGCTACAGCTGCGCCTGACACCTTTTCACAGGTCAGAGGGATCCCTGCACTAACACCTCTCGGGCATTTCCCCTGACAGCACCGTCACACACCCGCACGGGGCAGGTACTCGCTCTGCCTCGGTGCCTTACACATCTCCTACAACTAGGAGGATACCCCAGACGACATCAAACTTCTGTATTTCCCTTACTTGACTTTCCTGTGTTGCATTTCACAAAAAAACATGTTATGCTTCTACTCAGGAGAGCCAAAACAGGATAAAAAGGGAGAAAAACGCTCAGCTGACCAGCAGGAAAAAGCAGTTGCTATAGGATGAAGAGGGCTGAGCCTCTTACACCAGACATCTGAGTCACTGTGGCCGCAGGTAGAAAATTTACTACTCCGCTAACAAAAACACAAGATGAGAGCTCATCCTGCGCGGAGTCAGCAGGTTCTGTGCCAAGCAAGTCAGTCTGCCTGCTGGTAACATCCCTGGGCGTCTGCTGGCTGCAGAAATAAAACTTATGTTAAGAAAAATAAAAATATATAAATCAATACACGGCCCTTCCAGCACGAGAACACTTGACGTGACGCAGAGGGCTCTGCCGGAGGCACGGGGTCCCCCGTCTTTCTTCAAAAGCCTGGCAGCGAGTGAAAGACAGCAGTGAACCTTAAATCGTAGGGCAAGGACAGGGGAGGGAAGGGGCCAAGTACCCCAGGTACCGGGCTGAGCGCGCGCTGGAGATCCCCAGCAGAGGATGGGCAAACGGACGGAGGCTGAGGGCAGGGAAGACAGAGAGCAAAGCCTGACGTGTCCACGACTGCCTGGCAGTTTTCTGTAAATAGCTTGAGGCTCACTGTTGGAAAACACGTAAATCTAGAGGATATTTCAGCTGTTTCAGTACCGTTGTCACCTTGTTTTATGTAACAGTGCTTTGCAGGAATTACTGTTGCGTGTTCCTTGACCGAGGAAATGAGAATTACAGCCCCGCCAGGAAGACTGGACAGGCAAACATTTGGCACTGTCTGCAGACAGGCACGAGGAACACGCAAGCACAGGGGGCAGAACAGGCTGAGCGGGCGAGAGGAGCTGCGTAAAAGCAGAAGGGAGGTTTTCAGCATGTACAACAGCTCCAGACACGGCCGGTTTGCAGCCAGACGGGGTATCTGGCAGCAGGTGCCCTTCTGCTCTGTCAAGCACTACCTACGGTAACGGTTTAAAAAGAAAATAGATATTCCTCTGTGTGTTGCAGAAGTGTGTGGTGTCAGCGCTGCCTCTTCGCCGCAGGAAGGTTGTAACCTGTTCCAGGGATCAGGAACAGGTCTGGGATCTCCTCCCCGCACACCTCAGCCCTAAGGACAGTGACCGCTCCAGGCCGATACAGCCACGTGGCGGCTGGCAACTAGCGCACGCCAGGCCAGGCGTTGGGGTAACGAGGACGGTTTAGGTACGCTCTTGGGAAAAAACGGCTACAGGCTTCCAGCTGCCCTTGCGCCTGCGCCAGCGGGCAAGCTGAGGTGGGAGCTGAGGCCTGGCCTTCTCCTTTGGGGGCTCCCCAGGCTCCGCGTGCACGCTCAGGCAGCAGGTCCTGCTCACCTGAACTCGTGCGGGTGTGGACACTCACTCTGCCATCCCCTGCTCCATATTCAGGTCAATTCCCCCGTCGGCAAGGCTGCCATCGTCTGTGAAAGACGGCTTTGCCAGCGGGCAAGCTGAGGTGGGAGCTGAGGCCTGGCCTTCTCCTTTGGGGGCTCCCCAGGCTCCGCGTGCACGCTCAGGCAGCAGGTCCTGCTCACCTGAACTCGTGCGGGTGTGGACACTCACTCTGCCATCCCCTGCTCCATATTCAGGTCAATTCCCCCGTCGGCAAGGCTGCCATCGTCTGTGAAAGACGGCTTTGCCATGGAGTTCATGGATCGGTAGCTGGTACCGTAGACCACCGAGCTGAAGATGAACGCTAGC